AGAGTGATGATTATCAAGGCTGAGCTTAGGGGGATAAAACTAATGCTTGCGCCCACGAGAGCCTGTGTTTCATTTGGACTTACTCCAGCATGGGTGATAGCACAGCGCTTCGTCTGGGAATACATTAAGTGGATTTAATATAAGAAAAGATCAGTATTGTTCTTTTTCATTAGCAGGCGCCAAAGTCATCACCATACATTTGCAGTAATGGTGGTGAAACTCGATTAAAAAAAGTTTGAAATGAATCATTTGAGTCAGCTTTGGTGAAGTATATTTCACACTAATGCCAATTTGGGCTTCTGGAGTGTAGCTGGCCATTTTCAAATGTTGATCTTAATTCAGTCCTAACAAACGGCAGCTGTGTGGAACGCGCGAGGCTGAACGTCCAGCTTTTAAGCTGCCTTAAGAGCAAAGCCGAGTGGCAAAAGCAATTTGGAGTTCATTTAAAACAATTGAACTATGCTTGGGCTGGTTTTTCTGAGACCCGGTCAACACTAATTCACAGTGTTGCCTTTTTATTCAAATGACCTCTCTCAGAGTCCTTTTGGTGTTAGTGCAGTTCTAATGCAGCTCCACACAAAAAAAAAAAAACCTGAGCTACGTCTCTGAAAATGAAGTTTCCCTCCTCAGCTCTGAACGATAGCGGGCCTCTACAACCAGAGCTGTGTGTGCTCAGCCACTGGAAAAGGATTTTCAACTGTGCCATTCAGTCGGGGCCCCAGAAGCCTACAGCCTTTATCTGCAGAACCGTTGATTGATGTGTTGTGGGCCCTGCTGTGGTTAACAGCAATTTTTATCTGTTGCTAGCGGCAACAGCCCTGGTCCCTGGTGCGCAGAGAACAGCAGGGCCTGGGATCTGAAGCCGGACCGCACACGGGGATAAACAAATAGGGTTTTCAAGGCGGACAGCCCTCATAGAGAGGCCCCTGACAGGCATTGCCCCACCCGAAGGCCAGGACAATGTCAGGGCCCCAGCCTACTCCTGCAGGGTCTGGGTTTCCTTCACTAATTTTCACCATGTGCAGAGCCAGTGGTGTGGAGACACCTGCACACCCCACTGAAAAGTAAGCAGAACACAAGAGACAGGCAGGCAGATTGATATCCACAGAGAGTCACAGAGACACTCACAGAGTGACATATAGATAAAGCTCTATGCGCAGAGATTTGCATACAGAGAAATCTTGCTTCAAAAATAGTTAAGTGTAAAAAAAACAATTCCACCCAATTTCCTTCAATTGCTGTGTTTAGCGTTTAATCCAGTGAATCTCTGTCGTTCTGTTTAACAAAGCGTAACGCTTTTAATGGCTTCTATTATAATTAAGTTACATAATCCTTGTATTTGATAAAGATCTTGTTAAAAGCCTTGTCACTCCAATAAGGAAGTGCATTTGACACAAAATGGAGGTCGTGAATGCCAAATCAATTAAAACAAGGCTGTTTAAGAATTCACAAATGGATCTGAGATGCTCTGTTCAGAGTGTAGACTCATTGAGCGTTAAATATGATTATGACAACCCAAGCAGGGCAAAGAAGGGGTGTGTCTGGGAGCTCCGAGCACTCTCGCTCAACCCAAACACAACAGCTAAGGTTTTTTACTGAAAACGGCGAGATAAACCCTCCCAAAACAGACTAGTCCGATTATAGTGTCACAGACAAAGCTCTGTGCTTTTATCGTGCATGAAAACATGAGCCCCAGCTTGGCCTTGGGGTGGTTTTAAAACATGGGGGGTGGGACCGAAGCTCAATCACCTCATCTGAAAGGAAAGGGAGGTGTGTTGTCTTTTTCTCTTAGCAATAACGTCTCCTCCTCTATACAGTGAATCCAGCCCAGAGGTAGTGACAGGATAGGCAGATAGCTGCAGTGAGATTCTTTGACATTTTCCTCGTCTCTTGCAGCCCGTATCTCCCAGGCACAGAGGGGGACGTTGGGTTCTTTATCTTGGAGCCCCTCAGAGAGGATGATAAATCGCCAGAGCCCGAGCCCATCACTAGTGGAGCCACAAGCAGGTAGCAGCGCAGGAAACAAGGCAGAGATATTGTCTCCCAAACACAGCAGAGGCTATAATGAAGCCTGCACAAAGCGGACAGGAGAGAGTCGGCCTGATAAACAATTCCATTTCCAGTCTTCCACAGAGAGCGAGATAGCGAGTCTCAGTCCTGCTGCTACATATCGCTGCTGGACTCAATGGCCCACAGATTAACCCTCAGCCCTGAGGGGGAGGAAGGGTGGTGGTGGTGGTGGTGGGGGGGAGCATGATTTCATGTCATCACCTGAATAAACACATCATGTTTGGATAAATAAGTAACTTAAAATAGTTTTTTTTAGATAAGAGGATAGCAAACAGCATGGACTGCAGTATGTAACACTATATGGAACATTTTGTTTTATCTAATCTACAACACTGTTACAACAACACTGTAATTAAATGTAATTGTTACAATCGGACAATGGTTTTATTAGTGTGCAATGTTGAATTAGGTCTCCTCTGTCCCTAATAGCTTGCCTGCACTCACATTGCTCCAAACCCAACCGTGCCTGAGTATGGTTAACTCTAGTACATACATCATCACGTCAGAAGAAAGGCCAGTTTTGGGTTCTCCCTAAGATGTACAAATTCTTGTGAGTTTTATCCAGCTGATTCTGAATATTCACATCGGCCCAGAGTTCGAGTAAATACTCAACCTCTGCTTTTGACCAACGTGAACCCTTTGCCACTATTGTTTCATATTGATGTCAATAGGATCATAGCGTTATTAAGCTATAGGTTATGTACACATTTCAGACCCACGCTTGTACAACCATATAGTGCCGAAGCCCACCTCTTCAAACCACGCCAGAGCCAAGGAAGTGCACTTACAATAGTAGAGCAAACTGGACTTTTGGGGGTTAAACATGCATGGTACGGATTACCTAGTGTGAGTGCGCCCTTTGTAATGGAAAAAAGTTAGCTGTCACTTTATTGTTATTTATTTTAAAACAAAGAATAAATTGTATATGTTTGTGTATATCATGTATTATATGTACAAGGCATCTCAACATATTCGTGTACAAACCATTCAAAAGAGGCCATTCTAGCCTGGCAGGCACCATAAGAAGGGAGACATATGGTAGCATAAACAAGAGGAGGGGTTATCGCCCATAGAAGTAGAAAACAAACTGTCAGGAGAGATTGCCTTTTTTTTACCTCTTAGTGTCTTGTGACAGATAACCACATCCATCCAGCAGCCTGATTTTTTGAGTGTTTGTGGAGAGGAAATGCTGTAGATGGTGATCAGTGCCAGGGGCCAACCAGCAGATAGCCCTGTCCATGCTATTGGTGGCTGGTGGCGCTTCCTACGCCTCTGTGCCTGCCTTTTTGACCCTTCCACACCCCCTCCAAACCTCACAAACAGCCCTCCACCCACATACATAGCCTCTCTCTTCCTCTTCCTCCAGCCATAACGCTCTATCTAGCCCCTGGCCTTCTTCTCTTCCTCCACCTCCTCCCATATCTACTCAGCTTCTGCCTTGCGGGTCCCCAGAGCCTACCGACCCCACACCCCATGCATGCCCCCCCAACACCTTCAAAACCATCATACTGTAAAGCCTGAAGCACTTACAGATAAGGAGACCCCAGAAATCAAGGGGGCCCGGCAGCAGAGGAGATTGAGAGTCAGAGCTCAGCACCCAGGAGGCGTTCAGAGACTACACACGCTGCAGATAGCACCATCGGCTAGCCGGAGAGGGGAGCCAGACAACATAAAACTTCCTGCCCTCGTTGCTGGACTTTCCTGTGCTTTAACAAAACCCCCGCCCCCACACTACCAAGCCCTCTCCACCTCCAACTCTGCCCTCTCTCTCTCTCTTTCTGAATCCTCCGCCTTTCAGATAAAGAGAAGGCCTTGTTCCCTGCTGACTCAAACTGACAGCTCGAGCCAAAGGGCTCCACAAGCTTTTTCGGAAGGTCTTGTTTGTTTTCATCCATCTGTGAGTTTGCGGCCGCTGGGGAATAGGAATGTGACATGTTCTATTAAAACACGATAAAAAAAAAAAAAAAAAAATCTCACGCAGATCAAGGTCTTTTGTAACTAAGCTTTGTTCGGCGCTTTAACTGCAGTCCTTTGAGGCAGATTAACGATGACAAACCATTTATAGTTGTTTTGTTTGTCGGGATGATTGCTTCCAAGCTGCAATAAGAACTGCCATATGCCACTCATCAGCTAAAAGTAGCACACTTTAAAGAATGTTCCTCTTATGAGTTCCCCTTTGAGCAAAGGACATAAAGGACGACCGCTGTCTCTATTACCCAGAGACGAGACACATCATTGAAACAATGGGAGGGGAAGAGCACAAATCTACGGTTTGAAAATGCACTGGGGCAAGGCAACAGATGCTTTCAAGGGATAAAAATAGTCCAGCTCTGACAATTTGAGAGCTATTGTATGTTGAAAAAAGCTTGGACTGACATTTTCTAGGGCATAACTGAATACTCCTCACGGGCACATTTTCCTTGAACAATACATGTTCTATGACTAATACTATCACACTGACTACCATTAACACAGTCAATATTTCCAACATATCATAAGTCATGTTTAAAAGCTATGGGGGTTTCAGGACGTGTAAATGTGCATGCATTTCTTGATGGTAAGAAGCTGTATTTATTGCAAAGATCGAGGTGCTTTTAAAAAGCTTTTAGGCATATTATCATATGTGAAAAAAAAAAAGGATTCTTCACTGACAGTCACTGGAGAAAGATATAAAACTCTGACAGCGAAATTGCAGCAGTGGCAACCAGCGCTGATCGATGCCAATAAAACAAGACTCCGTTCGCCAAGGTAGCGCAGGACACCTTCCTGCAATTTAATCAGTCAGTCAGCCAGAATTAATGTTTCTAATATCATGATTTCTCCATTACTCTATTTAACATAATTAAAATGTCGAGCGCCGGGGCCATAAAGCGGGTCGTTGGAGATTGTAATTCTGCCGTAAAGCTATGAAGCATGAAAATGCCACTTACCGAGTAGCCGTGGCCTGACAGCGAGTGAGTGGAACTCTGTAGGGAGAAAGAGGAGAACAGGGATGACCTTTAAGGAGCGTTTCACTCGCTGACACAGACATGATGAAGCTGTGCCGCTTTAATATCAATATCTATGTTAACCTTTTACCCGCCCCGCCATGTAACCCACGCCCGCACACATCACTCCCATTCATCCTGGACTCCAGCATGGGGGGCAGCTGAGCGACACCCGCTCTCAAAACAATCACTCGTGTTAGATTGAATCATTATAATTTATAAGAATATAATTGGGAAACTTTTTTTAATCATTTAACAAATACTTAATTAAACTGGTGCCAATAGTAAATCACTGGATGTCTAAATATGTTTAGTGAACTGAACATATGTTATTAAAAAATCTGAAATTTTAGATATTTGATAAGTGGCTGATCTTTGCCTTCTAACCTCTTTTAGCAGAATTATTTATGCTTCTGAGAAGTTTTTTTTTACCGGTTATGCGTTGTAGTGCAGCTCAATAAAGCACGTCACCACTTTCTGCTTGAATATACTCGCTTTTGAAAGTTTAAGGGTACCATTCCTCTTTAGCCCTGTTTCCATCAAGCGCTTCGGTTTGCTACGGTACACATTTATTGGCGTTTTCACCGTCAAAAGTTGGGAAGGGTATATAAAATGATCTGTACTGTCCTACTTTTTTGGTGTCCTTCTGTTGAGGTGCCAAGCGTACTGATATGTCGTAGAGCTAAACACACTGCAGTCCGTTCATTGGTCGAAATTATCTTTACTTCCAGTGCAACAGAGGCAATGAAGGACAAACACGAATCTGCTGTGATTTAGTGTGTAAGAGTACGGATGGCTGTTGAAACGCAAGCGAGGGTTTACCATACCAAACCGGACTTAGCCAAACCGGACCGCTTAGTGGAAACGGGGCTTTTGCGAGCCATGATGGATTGAATCCTTTAACTGATAAAAATGAACCTTTGTTGAAATAAGTTATATAACTGCTGATGTTCCCTGCAACCTGACTGCATTCCCTCCTCTTTATGTTAGGTCTGATAATTCTCCAAGTAACGGCTTTGCACGCTAAAAAAACAATGAGTAGCCCGAAAAGCCATTGTTCATGACCAACAGTGTTAGGGGTAACCGTTACAAAGAAATCGCTTAGTAATCATTTACTCATGACATATTTGTCATTTGATGTAATGCATTAGGCCACAAAAATCCCAGAAGCATCTGCACTGATTTCTTAACTCTCCTACTTCTTGGCAGGTAGCTGTGTACCAGCAGAAGGTAAACCTACAGTTGTGTCAGTGTGCATATATATTAGCTAATTTAACTAGGGAGAATGCAGAGAGGACAGCATTTACTTTATGGAAATATCCCCATTATGTTTAACTTTTGGACCAAAGCCATGAACAACTTCATGGTGAAATGTAAGATCAAGATCTTGTGTTGTATTGTTTTCATCGATCTGCTGTGCCTACTATTTTGTGCCTTTGCCCTCTTTGCTGTCAGGTTGTCAGCATAATAAAGGTAATTGCGTCTGTTATTTATTGCTGCAAAGTTACAGATTATGGGCCGTTACTTGTCTGTGGAATGATGGTAAAGTCATACATTCAAAGGTGTTCCTTGCCGTCTGGACATTAAAAACAAAGTTGCAAAAGGTTTTAATTTTTCGGTAACGCATCTCTGCATGTAATGCAGTGCTGTTCAAAGAACTTAATGATAGTAATCTTGTAACCTTACTAATTACTTTTAAATGTAACTTAAACCAACACTGATGACAAAGTATTCAAACATATATAATTTGCAAATATAGTTAAAAAAGAAAAGGATTTCCCAAACATCTTGATTCTTTTGCAGACTAATGAGCATGATGCTGTGTATAGAACTAAGCATTTACTATATTATTTACAGTAAAAGAGAACAGCAAACATGTAACCTGGTCAATTAAGATGTTCCCCATACAAGGTCCTTTAGATGCTATTGTTCCATCTTTTTATAATTTAGAGGGTTTTTTTTAAATGGTGTCTGGCACATTCAGAAACCCAACCAAATGTTCTTTGTTATGTTATACCAGCCCCTTTGTGCTCAGGATAGTATCTCTTCATGCATTTAGGGAGAAGTTTTGGCCCATCAAACACCTCCTGTGTTATCTAATGCAGTCCTCTAAATGCTGAACAAGAGAAGGAAAGAGACTGAAAACGCTGGGTTTTGTTCTGTTCTCTGGCTCTGTCTGTCAGCGCCCGGCACGAATACCAATCTCCAAATCCCTCCCTCCACTTCCACTTTTCACTTCTTTTATTCCTCTGTCTAGATTGGCAATTTCTCCCCCCCTGGTCTCTGGAGGGGACTTTTCTGCTAGACCAATTTCATCCATAGGTCCACCTTCAATCCAAACGACCTCCCCCACACCTTCACCACCGCTGCCTCCCTTGTTTTGCACCCTCCCAAACCCCCTTATCCATTCTCAGACACCTGCTCTAGGCCTCAGCCCTCATCAGTGCCTGTGTGCCCCTCTGATTCGTGGGACGGCTCCTGTGGTGACGATTAGGGTGGAGTCCCGCCGCGAACCGGAAAGCAGGCTCTGCAGGAATCAAAAAGGCCATTCCCGCTCTGCTAGACCTCTCTGCTCCATCACTACGGCGACCAGAGAGGAGGCAAGAGGAGAGAGGGGAGGAAGAGCAGTACAGAAGGCAAAAGCTGTGGATAAAAAAAGGGCCAAAAGTGTGTTTCAATGAGAATGCGGTCTGTCGACTGTGTGTGTGTGTGTGTGTGTGTGTGTGTGTGTGTGTATGTGTGTATGTGTGTGTGTGCGCATGTTATGAGGGTACTTAATGTGTATATGCATGTGCTTGTGTGTGTGGGTGCGTATGAGCATAGGTGGTGGGAGGCCAAGGCCATTTAGAATTAGCCCTACTATGTAGAGTTCATTCAACTTGGAGCATTCTGAGCAGAAAGAGAGGCTTATTTAAATGATAATGAGGGACAATCCATTGGATTTAGTGCCAGTGAGGGGAGGAAAAGAGGGGAGGGAAAGGGGGATCCATTAAAACGCCAGCGGTTCATAAGCCATAGGGTCGGCATCCAGCTAAACACTCTCTCTTAAAAGCCATTATACATGGCTCTCAATGGATTTCTGCAGCGCTTAGGACTTCAAAAGGATTTAAGAACCCGCCCCAGAGAGGGAGTGTGGGGGAGGGAGGAGGATGAGTGAGTGTGAGATTGTGTGTGTGTGTGCGTGTGTGTGATTGTGTACGTGTGTGTATGCATGTGTGTGTGTGTGTGTGTGTGTGTGTGTGTGTGTGTGTGTGTGTGTGTGTGTGTGTGTGTGTGTGTGTGTGTGTGTGTGTTTTTGTGGTTATGGCGGTTGGCGGTGAGAAGGATGGGGCGGATGCTGGCGGCATTTAAGGGTTAACTAAACAGCCCCGGAGAAGAGAAATGTTGCTAAATCCGCCCCCTAATCCTCTCCCCATTTCCATGCCCCCTCCTCCACTCTCTTTACAAAAAAGAAAAAGGCAGAAAAAAGAAAAAAACATGGCGACAAGTGGGGAGGGTCCAAGCCATCTTCCACCAACCCAGACTATTGGTTTTTGTCGTTTCAGGAAGGCCAGTGGGCGGCCCAATCAGAGCTCATTGGAGCATGATGTGAAAACACGTACGGCCGCCGGGAGTTGGCTGGTTTTGGCCGCGAGTGGGTGCTTGTGGGTGGGTACAGGAGGGTGTCAGAGACCCTGACAGCACCACAAACTTCAGCCCTCTGCTCTGCAGGACACAGATGCAGTGGACCCCCCCCCCCCCCACCACCACCTCACATTTCCCTAATCCCTGTGTGGCTTAATGCCAGGGCCCTGCTGCACCACAGGCACAATTACCTAGTCAAAATAAACAGATAAAGACCTAACCATGGCAATGAACAAACAGCAGCCCCTGCTATTTTTTTTTTTTTTTTTTTTTTTACCCCCTGCTCCCAAATTGATGCATGACTGTTTTTACAGGCGGGCGCGTCCACGTGTCGCATTTGTCTCTATTTCCTGTGGCGGTAAGACAAGAGAAATCCATTTTACTGGTTGCAAACGCAGCATCATTAGTTAAGAGCTCCTAAAGCTGGGGAGCCACTTTGATGTGGCGGAGCGTGTTTTACGAAAATTAGCAGTGCTCTCAGTGTGGTGGCGGGAGATTACATGGGGCTGAAAAAGAGAAATATTGAAGGGGGGGGGGGGGGGGGGGCATGTGATGAAGTGGAATCTGTGTGTGTTTGTGTCCTGGCTGTTATTGAGTGGAATACAACAGGCAGCAGAGAAGGACATACTTCAACACACAGACAGAGAGAAAGAAGAAGGCTGAGGCAGAGGGAGTGAGATCGAAAGATGTAGATGCTGTGGCTACAACGATCAGCGTCTGTGCACCATTTACTTGGCAGCAGATTAGAGAGACATGCCATATCTAACACTGTCGGCATTACAGCTTGCAATTTTCAACAGTACTCCCCTCCGCACCTCCATCCCTACACAACAACCACCAACACCCCCCCCCCCCCCCCCCCCGCCTCATCTTTGTCCCCCTCCTTCTCAATGCTTGTCGTATATCCCTGTCAGAGCTGTCAACCGTCTTCGCTCTTTTATCTGACAAGCCCGCCTCTTCCTCCTGACTTTTTCATTAAAAGACAGCCTTTTACACAAATTCAAGAGAAACAGTACGAGGGGAAGAGGGGGGACAGAGCACAAGAGACACGGAGCAGAAAGGCTTAGAGAAAAGAGGATGAAGATAGAGAAAAAAATTATGCGTGATGATTTTTTATTTTTTTTTATTCATCAGGCTTTATTTTCAATTGGAACGCTGAAAAGCTTAAAACAATGTTTTTAATAAGTTCATTAAAATCTTTTTCCTTCCATCACTTTAGCCCTGCTGGAAAAGGAAGGAGCACATTTTTCCTTCCTCCTCTTTCTCTCTCCCTCGCTCTGCTTTCGTCAGCTAAATGAGCAGTCTGATTGAATTTAGTTTAGTTTGGGAGGCCTGCTTGACAGGCATTAGTTAGAAAGCACATTTCTACATTCATTTAAATGAGCCGCCTGGGATTTTGCATAAATTCTCATTACTTCCCCTGTATCTAAATTGCATTATTTCATCCCCTATGCTGAACCAATGCCTGGCCTCCATCTCCCTTTGCCACCTACTCATCCTCTAAATGGGCTGGCATATGGAAGCCGTGCAGCGATAATTGGAACAGTTTCTTTAACTCATTCCATTCTTGGGTCAGTGAGGTTAGCCCACACCTGGCTGCACCACCTTAGGTCATGTCTACATTTAACCGTGCCACGCTTTAAATAATGCCAGGCCAGCTAGGTGATGCTGTGTGAGCGGCTTAATAATTTCCTGTCTATGTGCTGCCAGCCAACCAGTCTTTTTCTTAACGCACGGGGGATTTATGAGGTGATAGCTGGAAACAGCAGGAGCTACTGAACCAGCTGCCCTCTGATCTCAGCCTCAACATTGCTGTCGTCCACCCGCTCTATTTACCCTACCTCAGGGGTCCCCCTTTTTGCACTGTGCAAGTGGATAGCCTGGCTCTCTGTATGGGGTCTTTGAAAAGGGGCAAAAGGTCTTGTCCAAGAACTCACCTCGCTGAGCTGCTCTTTGGAATTGCTCCTGTGCGGTCGGTTGAGCTCCTGGACCTTCTCGTCCTCGCTGACTTTGACCGGACGTAGGGCCAAAGGTTTGATCTGCAGGAGAGACAGTAAAAATAAACATCTTTAAATCATGTACTTCCCTATTGAGCCAAACCACTTTGATCACAACCAAGAAATATGATCAGAGATGCAGGGATTTCTGGTTACATTAAAGAGATGAAGAGTGTATAAAATCAAGTCAAGTCACATTTATTTATATTGGAAATTTAAAAGACCCAATGTTGATCAAAGTACTTCACAGAGTAAATGAAGAGTTATTCTAAAAGTTGTTGAGATGTAACTGCAAATCATTGCAGTATGACTCTTCAACTTTAAAAAAAGGATACAGACAAGAATTTATATATTTTATAAGAATTGCTGACTACATACTACTGTATGTGGACATTTTCCAAGGTGCAAAACTTATACTTGGGGTTTTGTGTATTCATCGTTCATTTCTTTGCATTCTTGAAAAATATCTTGCACAAAGCTTAAAAGTGTTTCATGACACCAGTAAACATCATGGTTCACTTTTACTCCGGCCATTATTGTGTTGTCGCCGCATGGTGACGTGGATTTAAAGGAAGAAGTAAATCAAAACTCCTACCATGAAGTTTTTCAGGTGAAACAAACTATCCTGTTATCCATTCCACCGAAGAGTGTTTCGCACTCACATACAGTGGCTGTTGCTGACCTTGAGTTTGCCAACAGCACATGTATGTTATAAACTAGACATTCTACATTTCTTTGAAATTTGCCATTTTTTCACCCTAGACAGCTTCAAAAAATAAAGAACAAAGAGAACAATGACCCTCCCAGTGGCAGTAAAACGTCAGACAATCACAAGGTATGCAAATTCACTGTAGGCTTAAATGGGGTGCCAAAATCAGTGGGCCTTTGAACGTACAATATGTATAATGTTATGGCAATGTTTACATTTAAATATCTAAGTTCATAAAAAATTTACTAGAACTGTTTTTGTTGTTGAGTACTTACATTACCTCAAATATTTCTAACGGTTATATGAGCCAGAGAAATACTTAATTTTATAGTAGTAACAGGACATGTCTTGTCACGGCGGCCGCCATTTCAGAGCTGCCATGACAGACAGAATGTTAATAGCTGCCGTGGAAACACCCGATGTTATGCCAAAGACCGCTACACAAGCAAGCGGGAGTATCTACTCAAAGCTGCCGTATTGTTATTGTATCTGCTGCTTTGATAAAAATGTCATGTGAATTATACTTGGACACATCGTCGGTAAACATTTTCACCGGGGGAAGGGAGGGAGTAGCAGAGAGAACTAGTTTTAATTAAAATCATGATGCTATTGTATTTCCTGTCAATCACTATAGATCTATAACCAACCGCACACATTGTGTCGATAGTCACAACAATGAAGCAGAAGGCTCTCACGGTCCTTCAGTGGGTCGTAGTTATTCTATTTTTGACCTGAGGGAAAGGCAAAGCTGCAGTGGTGTCCCACAGCTCACAGTCAGTTTATGTTTTGGCTAAATGCAAACTAGAACTGGCTGTAGCAAAAACACCTGCTACAAAAAAAACTCCCCCTACATACTGTAACTAGTCATACCTTTCAGCAGCATGATCACAGCAGCGACCTCTCAGTTAACCCAAAAGTGATGTGAAAAAGAAGTCATGCAGTTTCATTTTTAATTAGACTGTGGACTTAGATGGCAGATTTGTATCAGTTTTACTTTTCTACAATAAATTTACTTACAGTAAGCTTTCATCAATTTTCATTTCTGATCAAGTTTTGCATGTACATCATTTTAGTCCCCTCATGTGGTTAATACCCATATTCAAGCATCAGGTTGGTAACATCAGCTAGATATTTGTATCTACCTTATTAATCACCCAAAGCCCAAAAAAGGTCCTTGATGTTAAAATAATGTAAAACAAAATGTGTATTATAAACTGTGAGAACACTAACCACCTAAACCAACGAACACTTAAAAGGAAAACAGTGATTTATGTGAATGAAATCAAATACTATGATAACAAACAAAATATAAAAAATCAGTAGCTTAAGTGTTTAAATGCCAGTATGACAGTTTAGCCTCCCACATCATGGTGACCCTAATGCAAACATGGATGACTTGTTTTATTGCAGGCCATCAAGATTCGCAGTTGGCATGCAACCAAAATCCCAGCCAGATGGGAGGTTGGTGAGCTCAGCAAGGAAGACTCTGTGCTGGGGCAGCAGCAGCCAATCACAGTGTCCCGTGCTGCTTTCTCACCTCGGAGTACAGTGGCAATGGCCGCGGGGTGTAATCCATTTGACTAGCAGTTTGTGTGTAGCAGCTCCCCTGGTGGCACGTGTGGTTGCTGGCCTCGTTCTCCTGATCTCCACTGTAATTTAAGCAGATCACTGCTACAATTAACCTTTCCCGGTAAATATCAATTATGGCCCCCGGCTGGGCCAGAATTAAAAGGGTCATCAGCTAATCTGACAGGTCCTGTACGCTGCCACCTGGCTGGGAGAGAGGGAGGGAGGCAAGCCGGCAGAGAGTGTTTGTCTACCCCGGTGCCCACCAGCTCACATGCCAAGTAGACACAATTCCCTTTTAATTACCCTACTGCCGCCAGGGCTAGCATGCTGATTGGCCAAGGGGCATTACCAGTGCTCTGAGGTCAAAAGTGACAGGACGAGGGTGGGGTGGGGGGGAAGTTGCTGCCTAGCAATCACAGTGTAGAGATGGAAGGAAGAGAAAGCTGCGGGTGGGCCTAATCAGGTTTGACTTCCACCTCTACCTGCCTCTCCCACTGCCTCTGTCGTTCTCTCTCTCTCTCCTAGCTGTCAGCCTAATCACTCCTTGAATCTCAAAATAGATGGTGGCCCTTTTGATTTCCTTCTCCTGAGGAGAGCAAAAAGAGAGCAATCCTCCTTAACAGCCAGGCACGGGGCACGGAGGCAGAGACAGAGAGTCAGAGTACAGTCAGCATCACGTCACCAAGCGCATCAAGTGCAGCAGTTGATTACTTTGTTTACCCAGCATCAGTGTTACTGACAAATTCCTGAAGGCCCTTAAAGTGTTTCCGTCTCCTCTGAGGCCTGCGGCTACATTACCCAGTCAGCAATCAACTTGGCTATTGATCAGAGCACAGCATCTAATTAGCCGCCTAGGTTAATGATGCAACGAGCAAAGACCGTTCCCTGAGCCGCTGTTCGACGGGACAGGAGAGCAATTGATCTAGGCAGGAATTCACCAACCCTGACAAAAGATTGGCAACCCCAACTGCCTGTGATTAAGGCAGGGACTAATTTCCTGTCTGGGGAGGTGTTTAATTGGCCCTAAGCCCCCAACTGTACAGCTCTCATGTGTTGTTTTTTTTCTTTTTTGTGTACTCATTAATGTTAAAGGACAAGTTAGTGCGCTGGAGGGTGGGGCTAATGGTCTCCACAGAGATGTGTTTGGTGGCAAGTGATGACACAGTTCAAGGTCATAATGCCTTTCCACTTTGCTCGAGTTAATGCCTTTGTAAAGCATTCTGGGTAGCCCTGGGGGAGCAGTTCTTAGCAACCTGGCTATTAAAGGAGTTAGAGTTCTTATTTATTTCTGTGTGGATTAAGTTTGTTTACATTAAAGGTTTGACCGATGCAGTATTTGGCCAAGGTTAATCAGGTTGACGCAGCATGAGAATGTTGTTAATTTGTGTGTGGGGGGACGCTTTGACTTAAGAGGCCAGACAGAAGAGACATAGAAAAAACATAGCTGAGTGGGGCCTGTGTTTTACATGAATAATGTACTGGAAATTAGCTCCATTAGTCTCGGTATTGAACATGTCTGCAGTCCCTCTCTGGAGGCTGCCGCTCCGTGCTCTTTAATTATCTTCAAAGGGCCCTCCAGCATCTTAATTTCCCCCCAAGTTGAGTAGAGCCGACTTGGGTCTTCTCATTTATACTACTCTAACCCTGGGTGAAGTCATAAGCCCCCCTGCTTAGAAAGGCCAGTAGAGGCATCGAAGGAGACAGTAGTGGTTAACATCAGTTAATGCTAAGCTTGGTTAACTTTCCCTTTACTTGCACTCTTCCTCACTCTCCATGCAGTGTCAATCAATCCGTAGACTGTCAGCAGGGAGCTGGCTGGAGGTTGGTGGGTGCTGCTTTGTTGTTCTGCTCCTTTGATCCCCCTTCCTTCACCTTGCAGGGGGGTTTTGGGAGGGCATCGGATGGCTGCACATTCTCCGACCTTTTTCCTCCTTGAATAAAAGGAGCTGTAGGTCCTGACCTCACTTTTCCTCTCTTTTCCTCTCCTCTCCCTAGCCAGCCGTCACCTGTCAACAGCGCTCAGGGAGGCTGTGCCTCAGCCTTGTCCCAGTGTCAATCCTTATTACCCTAGGCTTTGGACCTTGCCCCCCAACCGCCAATTCCTTTCTAGCAGTCTTGATGTTCTTCTGCTCCACACTACTGAGCTTAAATCTGCGCTCCAGGCTTCTCTTGCACAGGGCAGGGAGGAGACAAGGGGCAATACGGGGGAGGGTGGGCTGAAGAGGACGGAAACAGATCCTTCCTCTAATTCGCTTTGAAAAGTGTCCTGCGCATAGGACCCTCACCTCCATTAACCCAGCGACAGGCTGCTACCGCTGCTAAGGGAGGCATCAGCAATGTGTTTGTGTGTGCATCCGTGTGTGTGTGTGAGGTGGGCCCGGTGGTGCAGCAGGCTCCGGCATCTCGGCTTTCTCAGTGACGGCTCCGGCACCGGCTCAATCTATCGGCTCATTATCCCCCCCGCCCAGACTGGGTTGCAGACAAGTGCACTTTAGGGCCACAGGCCAAATTGATTCATCTGCCTTCATTTTCTTCAGGCTCAGAAGTGGCAGCTGCTCGGAGGCTGGGGGAAGGAGCTTTAAGATTGTGAGAGACAGAGACAGGAGTGAGTGAAGGAGAGAAGGAGAGGGTCTGAGATAGAGTGAGATGAAGGAGAGAGGCAACGAGAGAAGGAGGTGTTCCTGGCTTTGTTCCTCATCCATGTCTCATTTCACTTTTCCTCCTCCTCCCTCCTCTCTCCATCTCTCACTTTACAACACCACCG